AAAGCCGCCCACCTTCCGCATGTGCGTAGACTACACTGATCTAAACAGAGTGTGTCCCATGGACCCCTTCCTCTTGCCAAATATTGATCAGCTGGTGGATGAAACCGTGGGGCTCAAGATCATATCCTTCCTCGATGCCTTTCGAGGGTACCACCAAATTTTCATGCACGAGGAAGACGCCGAAAAAACAGCTTCATGACTCCCGAGGGCATCTTCGGCTACCTTGTCATGGCCTTCGGCCTGAAAAACTCAGGCGCCACTTACACACGGATGGTGGCCAGGGTATTTCAGGCCGTCCTAGGGCGCACCATGGAGGCATATGTTGATGACATGATCGTCAAAAGAAAGCAATCAACAAGCCATGCTAACGACCTCAGGAAGATCTTCACCATCATGCAGAAGTTCAACCTTCGGCTAAACCCGAAGAAGTGCACCTTTGGCGTGCAAGGAGGCAAATTCTTAGGCTACATGGTGAGATGAAGGGGTATCGAGGCCAACCCCGAGAAGATTCAGACCATCATCAACATGGAGCCCCCACGCAATGTGAAGGAGGTTCAACGGCTGACGGGCCGCCTGGCAGCCCTCAACCGCTTCCTGTCCAAGTCGGCGGAAAAATCCTTGCCCTTCTTCCAAATCATGAGGAAAACTGCCGGCTTCCAGTGGACTTCAGAGTGTCAGGAGGCCTTCGAGGAGCTGAAACGGTACTTATCTTCACCCCCTGTGCTCTCCAAACCCAAGGTAGGGGAGACCCTGTACCTTTACCTTGGTGTTAGTCCGGCAGCCATCAGCTCAGTACTCATCCGGGAAGAAGAGGGCGTCCAACATGTCGTCTTCTATGTTAGCAAGACCCTCAGGGAAGCGGAACTCCGGTATTCTCCTGTGGAGAAAACGGTGCTAGCTATTGTTTGGACTGTGAAGAAGCTTGGTCATTACTTCCAGGCCCACCCGGTCCAGGTCCTTACGCATCAACCCCTCGGCGCCCTAATGAGGAGTCCCACCAGCTCCTCCCGAATGGTAAAATGGGCTATCTTCCTCAGCCAATACAACATCGACATCCGTCTGAGGCCTGCCATAAAGGGCCAAGCCCTGGCAGACTTCGTAACGGAGTGCACGGCTAGATCAGCAGTGGATGAGGAGCCCTCGGCACCTTCGGACGAGTGGTGGACCCTTTATACCGATGGCTCCTCAGCCACCAAGGCATCGAAGGAGGAGTAGTTCTCATTACTCCTGAAGGCTTTCGGGCCTACTATGCCGTCCGTTTCTCCTTCATAGTCTCCAACAACGAAGCAGAATATGAGGCCCTCCTCTGTGGCCTTCGGTTGGCAGCAAATATGAAGGCAAGAATGATCCACGTCAAGTGTGACTCCAAGCTTGTCGTGGGCCAAATCTCCGGGGAGTATGAGGTCAAGGAAGGGAGGATGAAATAGTACAAGGAGGTGGCTAAAGAATTGCTCAAGGTATTTGAGGCGCACTCTCTCACCCAAATACCGAGGGCTCAAAATTCTGAGGCCGATATTTTATCAAAACTCTCGGATGAATCTCCCGAGCACCTCTCCAAAATTGCAAGGATAGAAGAGCTCAGCCTCTCAAGCATACACGCCAGCCCCGTCATGCAAATTCAACAAAGGCAAGAGGACTGGATCTCAGACATCATCGCCTTCATCACCACCGGGCAACTACCGGAGGATGAGTCCCGCTCCAAGTTAACGAAGCTGAGGGCTCCCACTTACACCATCGAGGACGGAAGGCTCTACAAACGATCTTACAATGGTACGCTGCTCCGGTGCCTTCATCAAGATGAAGCCGTAGTGGCAATGGAGGAAGTGCACAGTGGCACTTGTTCGGCTCATCAGGGACCCTTCTCCATGTCCCGAAGGCTCATAATCCAGGGCTATTTCTGGCCTACGATGGCCCGAGATTGTGCGGATCTCGCCCGAAGGTGTACCGCATGTCAACACCTCTAGAGAGCCCCCGGCAGACCAGCGGTCAACTATGCCCCCATCAGCACATCTATACCTTTCGCTAGATGGGGCATAGACCTTGTGGGCCCTCTGCCGAGGGGTACCTCCAACAACCGGTACATCATCGTTGCCATTGACTACTTCACCAAGTGGGTGGAGGCTCAGCCCCTAGCCAGCATTACTGAGGCCAGGTGCCGCCACTTTGTCCTAAAGAACATTCTCACAAGGTTTGGTGTCCCCCAACAAATCATCTCCGACAATGGGACCCAATTTGAGGCAGCCCCCTTCTTTGCCCTCCTAGAGGCATGGGGCATCAAGCACACCTTCTCCTCCGTTGCTTACCCCCAAGGCAACGGTCAAGTGGAGAATGCTAACCGGACATTACTTGAGGGCCTCAAAAAGAAGCTGGAGGCCAAAGGGGGAGGCTGGGTAGAAGAACTCCATAATATCCTATGGGCTTATCGCACCACCCCTCGGTGAGCAACAGGTGAAACACTCTTCTCCGTGTGCTATGGATTTGAAGCTAAAGCTCCCACTGAAGTGACCCTTGCTACCCGAAGGGTAGCCCAGTATGATCCCGAAGTCAACGACGCCAACATGGCCCTCGACCTTCACCTCATCTCAGAACACCGAGAGCAAGCCTTCGTACGAGCGGAAAACTACCGAAGACAAATCAAAATCTACATCGACGCCAAAGTCCGCTCTCAAGAATTCCAAGTGGGGGATTATGTCCTACGATGAAGAGAAGCAAGCGAGCCAACCGAGGGGGGTAAAATGTCACCCAAATTTGAGGGCCCATACATCGTTGCAGCCATCATCAAACCGGGAACTTACAAGCTCAAACGTCCCAACGGGACCGAGGACCCCCGACATTGGAATGTACACCATCTAGTAAAATTTTATCAGTAATGTTGGAGCGGCCAAGCCCTCATAACTAATGAATGTATTATTCTACGGCTCAAGGCCTTCAAATTTGAAGACATATTAAAGACACCAAGAACAAGAAACAAGACACATATGAGCGGCCAAGCCCTCATTCAAATTCCTGGCCCAAGGCCTTATTGCAGGACCCCTCGGCACCAAGTACCGAGGGTTCACACTCCAAACACCTACGACAAATGAAGAAAAACACCAAGTGTTTTTAAGAAGACCCCTCGGTACCAGGTGCCGAGGGTAAGTAGTCCTATCAACTCCAGACAGTGGAAAACACCAAGTGTTTCCTTTTGAAGACCCCTCGAGCTGAAACTCCAAGTACCGCGGGCTGAAACAAACGTCAAGTGTTGTTTCTGAAGTTGTACCCCTCGAGGATGCATTTATACCGAAGGCGCCACCTATCGGTGTCGGCAGCACGTAGTGCCCCCGGCCATTTGAAACCAGTGTGCAAATGAAAACCCTTCCTTGAAACACTTTCCGCGCCATTACCCCAAGGGTATGGTAGGCAACTAATATGCCCAGGATTCGACTTTCAAAAAATGAAACGCTTTCCGCGCCACTACCCCAAGGGTATGGCAGGCAACTAATATGCCCAGGATTCGACTTTCAAAAACGAAACGCTTCCCGCGCCATTACCCCAATGGTATAGCAGGCCACGGACTATGTCTCGTGCCCAGGGAACGACTTTCAAAACTGAGGCGCTTTCCGTGCCACCCCCAAGGGGAGGCAGGCTACAGACTAGGTCTCATGCCCAGGAAACAACCCTCGATCCCCTCGGAAATCGGAAGGTTAACCCGAGGGGGGAGCTAATGGTGTATGCTGTTGCCTCCCGATAGGCCAAGCCTTACCAAGAAACCAAGTTTCTTGAAGCCTTCCCTTCATTACCAAAAAAAAGTGGGGTGAAGGGGAGTAGACTCAGCGAGAAATCAATGAGTACACAACTCCAACAATTCACATCAGAACGCCCTTCGGCATTATAAGAAATTTCAACATACCAAAGGCTTCCCTAGTGGAACACTTCCGGTAACTGAGGGTTCTTATTCATTGAACACTTTTGATGATGCCCGGTCCCCGAAGGTTACTACTCAACAAATATCATCAAGAAATGGCTAAGTCCACTTTCTGGCTGCCTCCGGTGTCACTGACACTGAGGGATCTACTCCCTAAAAGGGATAAAATTGGCTAAGTCCACTCATCAACGATTCAAGACAAATGTTATCAAGTATAGGCCAAGTCCAAGCAGCTAGCGCCCCCAGCATTTCACCCAAACACCGAGGGCACTCTCCCGAACTTCACCCGAGAGTATTCATCTTATCATGCCTTGGTGGGAGTGTAAAACTCCTAAAGTACACACTTTGGGATCTACTAAAAGCCGAAGGCTCCTCACACATTACTGGAGGCCAGTCTTACAAGCCAAAGGAAATTGTCCTGAAAGTTGGGTGCCTCCGGGACCACCACCCTTCACCGAGGGATCTCTTACTCAAGATACTACAAATCGAAGGGTCTATTCACCATTAATTATGGAAAATGTTCTAAGTCCTAAATGGTTGGCCCTCAGCCAACCCATCATGCAACGAAGGCCAAGCCATTCCATGCAACTAAGGGAAGGCGTATGCCGAAGGCCAAGTGACAAGCAACACTTAGAAAAATTTTCTAATTCCTAAATATTCGACCCTCGGTCAAATATCCATGCAGCTAGAGGGGCCACACAACCGAAGGCTTGGTGGAAGAACTACACTTAGAAAAATTTTCTAAGTCCTAAATATTTGACCCTCGGTCAAATATCCATGCAGCCAGAGGGGCCACACAACCGAAGGCTTGGTGGAAGAACTACGCTTAGAAAAATTTCTAAGTCCTAAATATTTGGCCCTCGGTCAAATATCCATACAGACAGAAGGGGCCACACAACCGAAGGCTTGATAAAAAAACAAACACTTCGAAAAATTTCCTAAGTCCAAATATAACTGACAACCCAGACATCGGAGTACGAGGGCATTCATTCACAAAGAAAAGACGAAGGCATACATTCAAAGATAAAAGCAAATTATATACAAAAGCCCGAAGGCAAGCATCCATTCACAAAAGGAATATTCAAAAAAGGTGTTTGTTACATCAGCCGAAGGCTGTAGAATGTTTTTACAAAGATTGTTCGAGATTTCCTAAGCACGAAATCAGATATCGGCTACTTCATCAGCGCCCTCTTCAACCGGCGTGGAAGTGACGTCCCCTTCGGTCCCTACTTGGTCGTCCTCAACCTCGGCCATCAGCATGGAATCTTCAAGATCAGGCCTCTAGACATCCGGGGGAAGAGGGACACGAACATCTGGCTGCAAAGGCAGGAGGCCATATGCCGCCGGATCAAAATCCTTCGGCTCAATCTTCAGGTGTCGGGCCATCCTCCGGTAGATGAGGGCCTGAGTGAAGAACTCGCCCCCATCATAATATTTCTTGCCCTTTCGGGCCAACCACTCTACGCCGGGGCCCTCGCACCACTCATCCACTGATACCCCTACGGCCGAGGACGACCACTTCTTGTACCCCTCGGCCTTCCAACCCTCAACAACGAAGGCGGCAACAGCTTCCTCTCGGGCCTTTGCGATGGCCACCTCCTTGACCGCCTCGGCCTCGTTGGCAGCTTTCTTTGCAGCCTCAGCAGCTGCCCTCTCGGCCCTGCCCTCGGCTCTAGCCTCTACTTTGGCGGCCTCTAGTTTCTGCTCCGCCTGCCGAAGGCTCTCCTCCAATCTCGCCATTTGCCTTGCGGCGTCAGCATTAACATGAACGAGCCTCCTCAAAGTCTCGTCTTGCTCCGCCTTCTGGAGGCGCAACTATTCCGCCCTCTGGACTTGCTCGCCGAGGGCAATGCAAGCCTGCAAACAAACAAGTAGCAAAGTTAAGCTACTGCGCAAAAGACTCCCAGATAAACTAGCAAAGGAGTCAAAGGCAGGAAAAACATACAGTTAGTGAGGACCGAAAGATTTTATTATCGAGGGCATCATCCTCGAGCCTGCTGAGAGCCGCCTTGTCCAGAGAAGGAGTAGCGCCCCGAAGGAACTCCTTTGGTACCACAGTGCCATGCACTATGGCAGTTCCCTTTATGAGGGAGAACTGAATATCCTTTCGGGGCAAATCCCCCTCATCCTGTTGTGCCGAAGGGGGGTGGGCAGGAGCCGTCGCTACCATGGCCGGAGTGTCGGAGGCCGAATGCTCGTCAATGATCAGGACCGGGGGATCATTCCTCCTGGCATCCCCCTTCTTCGATTTTTTGCCAACGGGGGCAACGTCCTTGCCCGCCGCCTTCCTCTTCGCGGCGGCTGCAGCAGCATCAGCAGTAGGGGGCATCAACGGACCCTCGGCCTTCTTGAAAAAAGCACCGACGGGATTCTCCTTTGGATCTTTGGCCGCTTTCTTTTTCACACCAGTGAATCCCTTCACATTCATTGTAACACCTGCAAAACCACAAAAACTGTAAGTCCGAGGGGTACAGATACAAGAGCAGAAACGAAATACAAAATATTTCTAAGTACAACAACGGAAGCCTTCGGGAACCACCTCCTAAGCCCTCGAACACTCGATCACAGATGGGATACTTCTCATCCCGTTCCCCCAGGAAAAGGTAGCGCCGGAAGCCGAGATTATGTAGATCATCATTGAGGGTCAGTTCCTTGATTGACACGTACTTGTTGCGACCCATCGGGATGGCCGAGATCTTCCTTCCGTCTTTCTCGAGGGCAGCACCCTCCACCTTCGGATGCCTCTTGAAATAGTTCTGCAGCTCCCCTGGGAACGGGGTTTCCTTCATCCTGACATAGCAGAAGCGATCTTTCCAACCCTTATGGGACGAGGGTACGTCATCAAATAGCCTCCACATGGCAAGCTGCTGAAGGTTTGCGAACCCCTCGGAATTTGTATGACCTCCCCGGCAGAGGTTGAAACTCGGAAAAAAGAGATTGAGGCTGGGGGCTACTCCCCAATCACGGCAGAGTTGCAAGAAGCCGGTGATGTAGGAGTGGCTATTGGGGTGAGTTGGCAGGGAGCTAAGTCAACATACCTCAGGTACTCAAGGAGGAACAGATGCAGAGGGAATCGAAGCCCCATCGATACCGAGAGGATATGCACCGCAAAACACCCATCGGGAGCCCGGGATAGTACGTCATCAGGCCCCGACCCCACCACAGTCGCCGAGGGCCCCACGTGCAGCTGCATCAAGTAGCACTCCGCTTCATCAGCCCTCAACCTCAACTCAAGGGCTTCGGTGTTCAGGAACGAATACCCCTCAGGAATACCGACGGGTTTCCCTTGGTCTACAGCGCCTTTGTTCTTGGGGCCCCCCGCCTTCTTCTTGGCCTTCGTCCCCGGACCCACCCTGAGGGGTTCTGCGTTGAGTGGTCGAGAGCTGCTGGCTTCTCCAGCATTGCGCGGGGGAAGGACGGCAACGGTAACCTTCCGCCTCTCCTTTTCCTCCTCCTCCTCAACAACTTGAACGGCGAGGGCCAACTCCTCGTCCTCATTTTCTTGTTCGAAGTCTTCGGCTTCCATTTCTACCAGGAGGTTGTCTTGTACCTCCTCAGCTACCGCCGAATCGTTTCCGGCCGAGGGGTTCTCGCTCGAAGACTCCACCTCGGATATGCTCTCGGCCTCGGCTGAATGCTCCCTCGAAATATCTTGGGAATCGCTTTGCGAAGACATTTTCTAAGAACTAGAAGTCGAAGGGTTCGGAAGAAGGAATTTCCCTAAGGACCGCTAATGCTAGATCTAAAGGCCACAAAAGCTAAACTCACTGAGCAAACAAAGAACAAAGGGAACAACTGACCTTGGGGAGCTTTGATTTTGTCTGAGGGGGATTTTCTCTCTCTAGAAATCAAATTGCCAGAGCTTCGCTACAATGATCGCACAAGGAGAACGGCCCCTGTCCTTGGGGTATTTATAGGCACCCAAATCTGGGCTTGGGCCGGAAATTGGGCCCCCGATGGAAAAATCATCATTACGAACTGTCGAGTTGCCCAATCGGTGACGCCCACCCACAGTCAGCCAACAAGCACACGCCACGTGGACTCCGCTTCCAACGGTCATATCTCAATGGCTATATTTTGAAAACACAGAGGTGCCCCCGGCTGGTACCCCTCATGCAACATCACGAGTGCCTTCGGGCTCTCTCCTTCAGGAACTCACGGCTTAACAACGGGTAAACCCCTCGGGAACCTTCACCAACTATTCCCGGCCACAGAATAACGAGACCCCTCGGGGATATCAAATTTAAAGCCCCTCTTGGGTGGACAGCCTTCAACATACAACAACTGGACCCCCGGGTGCCCTCATCCCCAGCTTGTCAACAGGTAGAGAATCCCCCCGGCAATGCAACACTACCACTTACATTCATCACGCCATCAACCCCATGGATTGAAGGACTCCCCTTCGGCATCCCTCGAGACATCTACAGAGCGCCTTCGGTAAAGTCAAAACCACGCGCCCTCAGATCAAGAGTAGCCTTCGGCATAAACTTTGCCCTTCATCCCAGACCAAGGTTTCACCTTTTCGAGTCATCATTGGGGGAATTCGGTGCACTCTTTTTCCCTCATTAGGATTTTTTCCCACAGGGTTTTTCCTAATGAGGTTTTTAATGAGGCATCCCCCCAAAATGAAACGAAAAATGTCAACCTTCGGCCCTACGCGACAGCGGGCACTATTCTACTCCTCTTCACCACATTACATGTGCCTCAAGGAGTGGGGGACTGGAGGACCCCTTCGGGAAAATGCAAAATGTCAAAAACCTCGCCAAAGCAGCAACATAATCCTTCAAGTCCCAAAATGTGGGGGACTGAAGGACTGCCCCCGGTAGAATTATGCGCAAACGTAAATCTCTCACAGGTTTACAAACTACAAGCAAGACAGCATCAGAGGACAACCGCAATTACTCCTTTTCCCTCAAGTACCTTTTGGCAAAAGGAGTGAGGGACTCCTGATGGAGTATATAGCCCCGGAACCCCCGGCCCATTGACTCCCTCTACTGTAGCAAAAGCCCAACAGGCCCAGAACGCATGGCAGGCCCAAACTAAAGCACCCCAAGTGCCAAGCAGCCCACGACGAACATTGGGGTACCTTCGGCACCCTGGCCGAAGGCTCATGAGCTAACAGTACAGCTCCTTCAAAGCCCTCAAAGTGTCTGAGAGGAAGCGGCGAAAACAGGAACCCTCGGCACCTAGAGCCCTCAGCACCTAGGGCCCCCCCGTATGAAGAGCCTTCAGCCAAACATCTACGGCCGAGGGCATCTCCTCGACAGAATCTCCCACCCACATGCGCCGGATCAACGTACCAAGTACAAACGTCACATCCAACCACCGCATTTAATGCGTCCACATGCGAGTGCCAGTGCCACCCCGCTGAGGTGACCCCTCGACCACCAGAATGATGACACGTGTCCCTATCTGGCATTTATTACTACTATAAATAGCACTTCTTTCCCCATTTGTAATTCAGGCTCAATATACTCAACGCATTCTCAGCAATATATATTCTCTCTCTTACTCTTGCTCTGACTTCTCTCTAGTTATTCCCCACAATAACCCCTCGGATAGATACCCCCGGGTACACTTATCCATCACAAAGGTTATGACCATTTTAGTTGTAACAGAGATGGATGGACATAACACCTTTGTGTGAAGGATTTAGACCTATTGACATAGATCTCTTTGTAGTACGTAGGTAAGCTGTTTTGGTTCACAGAAAACTTTAGGGAGTTTTCTGGACAGTGAATATGCAAGCCTTTGGGATGTGTGAAGGTGAGTGAGAACTGAAGTGTGTGTTGGGTGCTGAACATAAAAGGTACCAAGATATATCCTGGTTCAGAGGTGATATAATCCTCCTACATCCAGTTTCAACCTATTTCAGATGGATTTCCCCTAAATGAATATCCCATTACATTTAGTGCCAATCTACCCCTGGCCCGGGCGTAGATTGTGAGGTTTTTCATGAGGAACAGTCTGTTCCAAGCTACTCATGTCCTCCAAGGTTTTTCACTAATGGCTTGCCCAGCCAGAAGCTACTCATGTCCTTGCCTCACCTTCTGGATGATCACACACATACCAGAATGAATACACTAGTCTAGTTTACATGGGTTTAAACTAGTCTACCAACTAATCTAAGCTCTATAGATGTGTATGGATGATGAGCAATTCTAATAGCATTAGATGAGTGGGGTGGTAACCAAAGTGGTGAAGGTGAATCAGCTAGCTGGATGTTTTCGTGTAAACCTTGATTCCCTTCTGTCCCATTAGGTTCTAGTATACCAAGGTTTATTGCCATCTGGTGTCACACTTGGTCTTTCCGCACTCTTTCTGTATTTATAGACTTTGTTTTTGAATCTCCTCTGTTGGCTGAGTGATCCAATCTTGATCGTTGCTTGACCTACTTGCTTTGTTCCACTTGACTGGGCAGCATGGTTGATTCTTGTCTTCTCGTGACACAGATCATTTTATCCTTACTCAACTTGATTCCTCATTTCAAGGCAAAGATAAGATGATTTATCTTTATCTTTTTAGCTTACAGAAATTCAGTATCTAGGCCGAGTGTTGTTCAATGCTTCTTCAAGATAAGATTACATATTTTCAGTAAATAATGTTACAACAAAAATTTTGTCACATAATTTCTTGTAACATTATTTTCTATGCATTCTGTCATATTGACTGCAAATGGGTCTTCTGTCTTTTTGTTTCTGTGCTAAGAGAAGAATAGTAGATATCGAGTTCTTTATCAGAATACCTTAACAGAATACCTTACCAGAATACCTATGAGGTCTTCTGTTCCGGTGCAATCAGAGAACCACCTCTGTTGTTGAGGTTCTTTGATACGACCATGACAGAAGGTCTTCTGGTGACCCAACAGAAAACCAACTCTGGTGTTTATCATAGATGGTCAGTTCTGATAACTATCAGAGTTGAAGTTCTCTAGTATGATCAGAAGGTTATTGAAGGTTCTCTGATCAAGTCTCTGATTTTATAAGGGTTTCAGTTGACTCTTTTCATACCTTTTCTGTTTGTTTCTTTTCTTTTTGTTTTATGGTACGTTTCTTCTCTTTTTAGTACTCTCTCATTTTCTTGAGTACTTTATCACTATTGAGCACATTACAATTAACAGTAGTAGAACAAATACAAGTGTTGGTCTATTACAGGGATATTATAGTTTTTAGCATCATCAAAACTATTGTCTTATTTGATCATCAAAATCTAGGGGACCTAACAATTTTCCCCTTTTTGATGATGTCTAAAAACTATACATAAAAATGAGATTTTAAGAATTTTTGAGGTGCCATTCTTTTTCCCCCTTTTAAGGCATCACTCAAAAATGTGCTTTTTGGTTTGTGAGGAAGGCATTGTGCTGAGATGATTCTCCTGGAAAAAATCCTTGCGTGGCATTCCTTTTTCTCCTCTCATTTTCATGCTTTATTTCTTCCTGTTTGCGCTGGTAGATCCTATGGATGTATTCCATTGAGGTGTCAATCTCAGTGTTCTTCGTTCTTAACCATCTCAAGGCAAACTTTTCTTCTTTTCTTAACTCAATCTCATTTAGGAGAAGAATGTCGATTTGAGTCATCCTCCAGCTTTTCCAATTGAGCACTCTGCAGTATTCTTTGTCAAGTTCTTCCTTTTCTTTACTAACATTGAGCAATGTCTCACTAGTGGAAGTGTTCTCTTGTGCTCTGGGGCTGGAAATGTCTCTTGGCTTATTTGGTCCAACTGATGGTCTTAGCGTTAGCTCAAGATTCAGGGGATAGGATGATGAGGAATGCATTTGAGTTAAAGTGATGATACTTTGTAGGAGTCTCTGTGAGGATGGTGAGCTTTTGAGAGTAAGGTATATGTGTGAAGCAAAGAATGTATTTATAGCTAACATGCTTCAATTTGCTTTTAATTGCTTTGTGGCAATCTAAGCGTTTCATTAATGATCTTGCGGGTGTCTCTCTTTTCTTAGCAAAAAGCAACTTCGATAAGCGAATGAGATATTGAGAAACTCACTTGACTTATTAATGTGGTTGCTTGATCTTGACATAAATAAATGAGTCAGCTGCTTGATCACCATGTGTCGTTGTAGGATTTTGCATGTAACCATAAATTCTTCGTACTTCCTTTCCTTGGATTTGATTGAAGGTAATCCTCTCTAATGCTCATTAATGTGACACCTTATCGAATGTCAGCATGCTTTTGATGTAATCAAGATTAATTCCTTCTGTATGGCTGAATTTAGATAAATACTCCATATTTTATTTCAGGATATTCGTTGATTGATTTGACCCTTCAGTCTTGATCAATATCTGTTCTTCTTGGATTTTCAGATAGCCCATACTTACAATAATATCCTGAATTTCTTGAAACATTTGAGTTGTTTCAAGTATAAAATAAACTGGGAGTTGGTGTTTCAACAGAACCTCTTTCTATTTGATCAGGAGTTCTGTTCCTTGACAGAACTGCTTTTGGTGTTCTGTTTATCAATAAAAGCTTGAGGTATTCTGTTGGTTTTAGCAGGCCTCGAAAATTTTCTGAAAGGTTCAGTTTTGCTGCTTTTCCTGCTGACATAATCCTTCTCCTTTCCTTCTTTCTAGAGTTTCTGGTGAACCATAACTAATTCTCCTTTTGAACATCTCCTTCTGTTATCCAGAACATTGACCGATCTCTGCCATAATGATTTGTTTTTATTGAACAAATCCCACCTGATCCTCAGAGTTAATCAAGTCATCTAGTTTCTGGACTTTGTCAATTGGAGTTGATTAGATGCATTTGAAGCCTAGACTACTCTTGAAAGATTAAGTAGCATTTTAGCAAACATTTCTTTGTTTTTCTCAAAAATCCTGTAGGCTCTTGTTTCACCTTGTGATTTGAGAGTTTGCTAATGCCTTTTCATCACTCATCTTCTGTTGGTTGAGTGTATCCTCTTGAAGCTTTTTTGAACATTCCCCCTGTGTTGATGATTGAGTCCTTTTGACTTGTAAACATAGAAATGGATATTCTTAGGACACTGTTATTAGCATGATCTAGCTTTTTTAACAGGGTGCTCCTAAATTAGGACGCTGCTATTTAGTAGGTTGCTCCTATTTTTAATAGAACATTTGCAAGATGCTCCTTATTACAAACAAGACTCTACAAAATAGTAGGGTTCTCCTTTTGAATTATAGTCCATCCCTTAAGTTTTTATTGAGGTGGAGAAGTCCCCTTCAATCTTTGATATTCTTCTCATAAGCAAGATGAACGTGATAATGTTTGCCTAAAACGTTTGAGTAGTTCCCCCTGAGTTGTATGCTCTTCAATTGATATCAAATGATGATACCAATTGATATTTTACTATGATGAGGAGGAGTACCTTTGGGGTTTTCTGACATATATATTCCTTCTTCAAGGTTGTTCAACATTTAAGCTCTTGCCTTTGACAATTAGATGTGCTAGGATCCTTTGTTGTCTTGACCTATATCACTGTTGTACACATCATCAAAATCTACCTTCAGTGCAATATGATCCTAACGATCTTTGTGTGATGTTGTTGATGTTGGGTTCAGTCCTTTTTTGAATAAGGTCATTCCTCAATTGGGATTGAACATCATCTGATACATCCACTTATACCTGGTGGCTAGAGAAGAAGATCTTTTCAGTTGATTCCTTGCCAGCAGTTTTTCAGCAAGCAGCTTGGAGCTTACTGTCTTGAGAATCTCTTCTTTCCAGTGAGCACATCTTTGATGACATTCTTTAAGAACAGAATGTCTTCTTCTGTCATAGACTGGCGTGTGCTCAATAGATAATTCTTTAAATCATTAACATAAGTTGTGTTAATGATCTGAGAATTTTGTTTATTTCCAATCTTGACCTCTTTATTCCACTCATTACTTCCATCATCCTTTTTCTTTGTCGGTTCTTCCTTTCCTTTAAGAGCAGTAGTATCCTTCATAGTGTTTTCCATCTCTATTCTATAAGTGTTTTGGGAGATTGGTGATTGATCTTTTGTTCAAAATAAGTCGGTTAAAAACTGACTCTATGAACAACCGCTCTGATACCAATTGATGGTCCCAAGTGAGGTAGAAGTCTAGAGGGGGGTGAATAGACTTCTAAAAATCTTTTCTTTTTCAACCCTTTTTCCTCAAACAGAATGTGTTCCAATATCTTTTGGGAGATATTGAAACATACAGCGGAAGTCTCCGTGTGACACTTTATAGGAACAAAGGTTATGACCCTTTTAGTTGTAATAGAGATGGGTGGACAGAACACCTTTGTGTGAAGGATTTAGACCTATTGACATAGATCTCTTTGTAGTACGTACGTAAGAAGTTTTGGTTCACAGAAAACTTTAGGGAGTTTTCTGGACAGTGAATATGCAAGCCTTTGGGATATATGAAGGTGAGTGAGAACTGAAGTGTGTGTTGGGTGTTGAACATAAAAGGTACCAAGATATATCCTGGTTCAGAGGTGATGTGATCCTCCTATATCCAGTCTCAACCTATTTCACATGGATTTCCACTAAATGAATATCCCATTACATTTAGTGCCCAATCTACCCCTGGCCCGGGCGTAGATTGTAAGGTTTTTCATGAGGAACAGTCTGTTCCAAGCTACTCGTGTCCTCCAAGGTTTTTCACTAATGGCTTGCCCAGCCAGAAGCTACTCATGTCCTTGCCTCACCTTCTGAATGATCACACACATACCAGAATGAATACACTAGTGTAAGGAATATTTGTATTTAGATTTTGATGATGCTAGATTAATTAGGACTTTAGAGTACCCCTCTTTAGACTTAATGTATTAGAATTTTCATTTGTAAAGTTCTTAGTATAATCGACTTGGCAGAATGTCTCCCAGAGCAGAAGACCTTCTGAGCAGAAGGGCTCCAAGAGCAGAAGACCCTTCTAAGGCATTGTTGAACAGAGGACCTTTGGTTCTCTGCTCCAGATCAGAAAACCTCAGGGTCTCTGTTAGCCTTTATTCTGACAGAAACCCTCCTGGTTCTCTGTTGAATATATTCTCAACAGAAGTGCTCCAGACCTCCTCTGATCAACTCTCAGTTAAAGACACCAGAAGGTCTGACACTTAAAAGAATTCCACAAAGCCGGGAAATCAACTGAAAGATTCCTTCAACGGCTAGGAGTATTGAACGGAAAAGCTACAGTGCGCGCATTAAATGCTCATTTAATGCTCCCCATGCTCCGTAGAGTAGTTGCAGATGATTGGCCGCAATGTCAGGATTACTTTATCCCAAAATAGTAACCCGCCAACTTTACCGGGCTCTACTGGTCAAGTCAACTGCTCGCTCATTTAATGCAGTTGTCCTCCTTCTCCTCCAACGGGAAGACAACCTCAGTATAAAAGATACACTACGAAGAACAACCGGATAACTTTGCAATTTTTTCTAACCATTGCTACAACTCTGCATACAAGAAATTCAAAACGCTTAAAAGCAAAAAGCCTCCTTGAGATCAACACTTCATCATCCTCTACAAGAGAAGGCAGAAGTTGAAAAAATACTTATTTCCAACTCAAGCAAAGTTCCAAGTGTTCTTCAACTCTTCAAACTCATCCCATACAAACTCTTTGTAACGAAGCAAGTTGGAGGAAGCCTGTTCTAAATAGTACCTCTTCTTTCATAAGAAGGACGTCCAAGTATCTGGAGTTGTGAAGTGGTGATACTTCTGGGAAGCTCAGTGAAAGGACCAGTCTTAGGGAAGCCGGAAGTGCATCCAAGGAGACATCTACACTTGAAGAAGATGTGGAGAGCTTCTTAAGTGATAGGGCTAAGGCATTGTAAACGGAAGTTTTACAGCTTAGTGGAACAGTGGACTAGAGGAACAACTTGTTCCTTGAACCACTATAAAAAGCCCTGGTGTCATCTTCTTACTGCTTTTCATTCATAGTTTTTACTTGAACTGTTTGACTCCAAAGACTTGGTATCTGTGTTCAGCAGAACTGGTCTTGTGAGTTAACAGAAGGCCTACTGCCTTTGCTTCTCTGAGGCTTTTAACAGAACCCCCCTACCAGAACCCCATCCGCTGCCAGTCTGTTCTGCCAACAGAACCGGCTATTCTGTAAAATCTGGTACTTAGTTTAAAAAGTTAAAAACCAATACAGTCTATTCACCCCCCCCCCCCTCTAGACTGTATCCAGTACAACCGGGACCAAGAAGTGGTATCAGAGCCTCCTTGTTCTAATAATCTCTTAGGTTATTCGCTGAACAAAGATCCACTTGTTTTTCTGTTTGACCTCATTTTTATCTGATATAATGGATCACTCCTTGTCCAAGAATCTTATGTTTTCAGATCTTAAGTTTGATGATTGGAGGATCCGGATGAAGGCACATCTTTGTGCTCTTCATGATGAAGGTGGTTGCTATCCAAGCCAACAAGGATGTAAAGACTTATCCCACTGTTAAGCTCATTTCAGATCTCAAAGCTCATGAGTTTGAAAGGATTGAAGAAAAGGAAGATGTACCAGAAGAGAGGACCACTACAGCCCTCACTGCCAGCACATCAAAGGTAAATGATTTTGACCCTTCAGTACTTTTATCTGACGAATATATGGCTGCTTTTGCTAGGAGATTCAAGAAGTTTATGAAGAATCCCAAAGATGGAAGGAGTCCATCATTCAACAGAAAGCCATACCAGAAGGTCAAAACAACAGAAAGCAGTGGTGAGCTTCTCTGTTACAACTGCAGACAACCTGAACATTTCAAAGCAGAATGTCCACATCCTAGAGTGTCCAAGAAACAAGGGCATGATGGAGATAAGAAGAAGTATGAAGACAACTCCAGAAGGAGAAAGGCACTTGTGACAGAACAGCTTGAGAAAGACCCTCTGTCAGAAACAGAATCCAGTTCTGACTCAGATTCTGATGAGGCCTTCTGCTGCCTTGATACTGAGACAGAAGACCTTTGCCTCATGGCTCATTCTGATGATGAGGTAACCTCTACTTCTGAATCTAGTTTTTCTTCGGTAGGCTTAGCTTTTGATTCTGATTCAATGTCAGAATTTTGGGAAGAGTTTAAGGCCATACAAGCCACTTATTCCTCTGTAACAGAAGAAAACAGTAAGTTAAACGCTGAGATTCTTGACTTAAAGAAGGAAGTTGAGATCAAAATCAATCTTCTAATTAAGGAAAGAGATCAACTGGAGACTGAAAATGTTTCTCTTCTCAAGAGAATAAGAGAAATAGAGCCTCTCGAGATTAAGTTCAAAGCTTACCAGAAGGCCCAGTCTTCCATGGAAAAGATTGTACTTGATCAACAGATTGGCACTGGATTTGGTCTTGGTTATGGCCCAACAGAATCAGGTGAGCCTTCTGTAATGCCTAGCACCAGTGTTGCTAAGGCAGATAAGGTCATAGTGCCACTGATTTCTAGCCCCATTTGTCAAGATGGTGTATCTGGCACCAAGATTGTTCATGAGGAAGTCAGACCAGAAAAGGGAAAGATAAAGGTTCAACAGAAACCCTTTTTGAAGAATAATGAATCTGGCAGAAAACCTAACAACAGAAAAGGTTTTCAAGATAAAAAAAATAAGAGATCATTCATTGACAGACAACCTCATGACAATCGTGCCAGAAATGATCACCAGAAGGGCAAATATCAAGAGAGAGTTAACTTCAAGCAGAAGAGGTTGGCTGGTCAACTTCAGAAGCCCAAAGCTAACCGTCCCTCTGCTCTTGATAGTATATGGGACTTCTTTCCAACAAAGAAAGCTATGCAAAAGTATGTAAACAGGAAGCATGACCCTCACAAGCATCTGCCCAAAGTGAATCACACTTCAGTTTACTATAACTACCAGGTGGATAATGGGTACCACCCACCAAGGTTTCACCTGATGAGACAAAAATGGTACCAACTACCCAGACTCCATGACCCCCCAGGACCCAGCATTGCTTGGGTACCTAAATCTTTCTTTTAATTTTGCAGGATTTATGTGCTGGAGCTATCTCTGAACAAGAATGGTTTATTGATAGTGGATGCTCCAGGCACATGACAGGTGACAGAAGTTGCCTAATTGAGTTCCAGAAATGCAAAGGACCTAGAGTTACCTTTGGAGGTAATGACAAAGAAGGTCAAACAAAAGGAAGAGGGAAGCTGATAAAGAACCAGATAGTCATTGATGATGTCTCGTATGTCAAAGGACTGAAGTTCAACGTGCTAAGTGCTAGCCAATTCTGTGACAAAGGCTACACTGTTGAATTCACAAAGGACTTCTGCTATGTGAAGCATGAGACAACAAAGGAAGTGGTTCTTACAGCATCAAGGAAGAAGAACATCTATGTGGTTGATTGGAACACAGCAAAGGATGGAGTTTGCCTGATAGCCAAGGGAGATTCAAAACTAAGCTGGGACTGGCACAAGAAGCTTAGCCACTTGAACTTCAAAACAATCAACAAATTGGCAAGAAAACACATTGTTGATGGACTGCCAGACATAGTCTACAAGAAAGAAACCCTCTCAGTGCATGCCAGAAGGGAAAGCATCAGAAGAACTCGTTCAAAACCATTGCTGGAGATCTTTCTACAAGTCCTCTAAATCTGATCCACATGGATTTATTTGGACCTGTTGAAACTCCAAGCGTTGGTGGCAAGAAATATACCCTAGTCATGGTTGATGACTATTCCAGATATACATGGACTATCTTTCTATCAAAGAAAAATGAAACTCTTCAGAAGTTGCCATCTCTGTTAAAGCAACTTCAGACTGAGAAGAACTTGAAGGTTAAGACAATCAGGTCTGACAGAGGAACTGAATTTGTCAACCAAGTCATAAAGGACTTCTGTCATCAAAATGGAACCTTTCGTCAACTCTCTGCCGCCAGAACCCCTTAACAGAATGGCGTAGTAGAAAGAAGGAACAGAACCTTAAAAGAAGCTGCAAGAACAATGATTGCAGAATCTGGACTACCTCTGAGATATTCGGCTGAAGCAATCAACACTGCATGCTATACTCAGAACAGAAGCATGATCAACAAGATTCACCAGAAGACCCCTTATGAACTCTGGAAAGGAAGAAAACCCAACATCAGCTACTTTCATGTATTTGGATGCAAATGCTACATACTTAACAATGGAAAGGAGCATCTGAAAGTCTTTCAAGAAAAGGCTGATGAAGGAGTCTTTATAGGCTATTCAAACATCAGTAAAGCCTATAGAGTACTCAACAGAAGGACCCTACATGTTGAAGAATCTATACATGTGAAGTTTGATGAAAGCATCTCTATTAAAGAGGTAACAGAGACCCTCAAGGAAGTCAGCTTAGAAGACAGAACACCAGAACCAACAGAAGAGGTAGCAGATAACCCTGCATTTCCAGCACCTGCACCAAACCCCCTTCTGTTGAATGAAGATGAAGATTCTGAAGATGAGGAACCAGAGAGACC